TAGTTTTAGCTATGTTAAGGGGATATCTGTGTGTGCAGGTGACTATTACTGTGCATAATTATTAGGCAACTTAACAAAAAACAAATATATACCCATTTCAATTATTTATTATTACCAGTGAAACCAATATAACATTCCAACATTCACAAATATACATTTCTGACATTCAAAAACAAAACAAAAACAAATCAGTATCAATATAGCCACCTTTCTTTGCAAGGACACTCAAAAGCCTGCCATCCATGGATTCTGTCAGTGTTTTGATCTGTTCACCATCAACATTGCGTGCAGCAGCAACCACAGCCTCCCAGACGCTGTTCAGAGAGGTGTACTGTTTTCCCTCCTTGTAAATCTCACATTTGATGATGGACCACAGGTTCGCAATGGGGTTCAGATCAGGTGAACAAGGAGGCCATGTCATTAGATTTTCTTCTTTTATACCCTTTCTTGCCAGCCACGCTGTGGAGTACTTGGACGCGTGTGATGGAGCATTGTCCTACATGAAAATCATGTTTTTCTTGAAGGATGCAGACTTCTTCCTGTACCACTGCTTGAAGAAGGTGTCTTCCAGGAACTGGCAGTAGGACTGGGAGTTGAGCTTGACTCCATCCTCAACCCGAAAAGGCCCACAAGCTCATCTTTGATGATACCAGCCCAAACCAGTACTCCACCTCCACCTTGCTGGCGTCTGAGTCGGACTGGAGCTCTCTGCCCTTTACCAATCCAGCCACAGGCCCATCCATCTGGCCCATCAAGACTCACTCTCATTTCATCAGTCCATAAAACCTTAGAAAAATCAGTCTTGAGATATTTCGTGGCCCAGTCTTGACGTTTCAGCTTGTGTGTCTTGTTCAGTGGTGGTCGTCTTTCAGCCTTTCTTACCTTGGCCATGTCTCTGAGTATTGCACACCATGTGCTTTTGGGCACTCCAGTGATGTTGCAGCTCTGAAATATGGCCAAACTGGTGGCAAGTGGCATCGTGGCAGCTGCACGCTTGACTTTTCTCAGTTCATGGGCAGTTATTTTGCGCCTTGGTTTTTCCACACGCTTCTTGCGACCCTGTTGACTATTTTGAATGAAACGCTTGATTGTTCGATGATCACGCTTCAGAAGCTTTGCAATTTTAAGAGTGCTGCATCCCTCTGCAGGATATCTCACTATTTTTGACTTTTCTGAGCCTGTCAAGTCCTTCTTTTGACCCATTTTGCCAAAGGAAAGGAGGTTGCCTAATAATTATGCACACCTGATATAGGGTGTTGATGTCATTAGACCACACCCCTTCTCATTACAGAGATGCACATCACCTAATATGCTTAATTGGTAGTAGGCTTTCGAGCCTATACAGCTTGGAGTAAGACAACATGCATAAAGAGGATGATGTGGTCAAAATACTCATTTGCCTAATAATTCTGCACTCCCTGTATGTACCTTTTCTTTAAAAGCATTATGAATGGTAGAATTGAGTTATATCGTTTGGAAATGGGCTTTTGTCCAGCACCATTTATACACATATATCCCTTTTGAGCCCGTTTCAGATATCATTATTACTCTTAGATGTATTTTAATATTGGAGTTGTCACCCTCCCTATTGCGCTATTGGGTGATTTTAACCTAATCACAAATGTCTCTGTGAATTGTGGCCCCAAGTGTTATATTAAACATTTATTAATGTGGCTATATCAGAATTACATGATGTCCAAATTCCACTTTTCGACACCGAAGGGGTTAAATGGATTAACGCTCGGATGCATTAGATACACTGAGTTACGTTACATCCCAGGCTCTTCCTGATTGGTTAACAATGGGATGACTCTTTTCAAACCGACCAATTAGAACTGTCTACTTACCTTTATATATCGGTTCTTCTCCCGCACATCAGTTCCCCTCTGATGAGCTGCGGGCGAAACGCGCGCGTCAGGGGTTAGGGGGCTCCTTAGGGATCCTTAGATGTGAATAATTTTAGTTTATGCCAAGACCTAGACTGATAATATCATTTATTTATTTTTGGCACTGCCGGAGGGATCCCGGAGCCCCACTCCGATCTCAACATTGGGGTTTTTTTTAACGTGGACCGGACACTTGATTTATTAATTTATTTTGCCTTTTTTTCTTTCTTTTTCCCCCTACCTTGTTTTTTGTTGTATTAGGAGTTTTTCTTTTCCAGTGCAGATATATTACCCTTTTAAAGCACTGTGAATGGTAGCAATATATGATAGTGCTGAATACAGATCTTTAGCTAGCACTTTCTATATATAATTTTTTTCTTTTTTCTTTTTGTTTGGATGCACAGGAACAGTGAATATTATATTATACATACACTGTTAAATGTAACGAAAGTATAATTGGCAAGATTTTGTTACAGCTTTATTTGATACAGGCATCCCTGTGCTACCTTTTATTATTGTTATACATAGTTATCTTGTATTTTTGGGATACCACCCACCTAGTATACTCTATCTCGCTGCAAAAAACGTTGATTTTTGCATAGTGATAGGAAAAGGATCCTGAAAACTTTTGAACAGGACTCTTTTTTGATTATTTTGATTTATATAGACACATCTAGCATGAGTTGGTTTTCCCTTCAGGACTTTAATCCTTAGGGTTCATTGTTAATAATATAATTTATAGCATACACTTATTTTAACTATACTTTTAAAAGCTATATTTTATTTAGGGGCACTCACTGTCTTCTCTTTTGTGCTTTTACTGCTATTGTAGTCTTTAAAGGGTTAACCCCTAATTGAGTGCATCCCTTTGCTTCCAATCTTTTCTCTTTATTTTTCTAAATGCCTAATATGTTCAGCATTTAAATTAATTTTTGATAGTTAACGTTAAACCTATACCAATCCACACACTAACACTCTACCCCTTACTCAATGGTTACACTAACTCTAACCGTATGTCTACTCTAATCGTAATATTAACCTTAACCCTTCAATATTCCTAAACCTAAAACAGCATTAACCCACACCCTACAATAACCCTTTCCCTAACACTACTCTAACCATAACCTACACTAACCATAACCCTACAGCTAACCCTAACCATTACACTCTTTTTAATCTTACACTATTATTACCCCTAAATCTAACCGTAACCCTACCATAACTCTAACCTCACAACTAAGCCTAAGGAAACCTTTTGCTAATATCAATTCTCATTATAGAAAATTGGTTTTACTATTTAACACAGTAGATAGTGGTCTGTGACCACCATCTACTGTCCGTTTTCATAATTACACTATGTGTAATTATAAATAGAGCCCTATTTCCCAGTTGATCACACTGAGTGGGGTACTTGGCAGCTGGCAAAGCCTAGCATTGGTCACAGATGGCTGGGGACAGCCTGGGATACCCTGAAGTAGACTGTAGCCCAGAAAAACTATGACTTAGAAATCGTGCCTTTACTGTCACGTATTCATCCGCTTATAAAAATGTGGTTAATGGCATTTACTGTCCACACAGGAAAAGTTGTGCCGAGCAGCAACCAAATCCACAGAAGGGTTAATGCTGAGCAGCAATTATGCAAATGGGAACCTGGTAACTGCCTTTGGGTCAAAGGCCAGTTACAGCCTATCAGACCTAGAGGAGGGTTATTTAGGCCCAGTTCTCATCCTGCTCAGTGGCCTGTCGTGGTTTCCTTGTGGTTGTCCGAGAGCGCATTCCTGATTCAAGTTTCTTCTGTTTTTTTACTTTGGCTTTGATTTCGACTTCCCTGTATTCTGTATCCCTGACTTCTGGCTTTCTCTTATCGTTGTATTTCTTTCTGTATCCCCTGACCTCGGCAAGTATCCTGACTATTCTTTGGTTTGTTAAGTCCGGCCATTCTAAGGCCCGGTAATACATTACCTATTAGTCATCTGTGTGACACAATTCTACATGCTGGATCAACTAGTAATCCTGACATTTACGCAGTACTGACTTCCAGCGCTTTACAGAACTCATAGGTCAGTCTGAGGCCACCAACAATGGCCCCAGCAGACTAAGGCATTGATACCTGGGAGTTGAGGTATAAGAAGGGCTTTAACCGTGCTCACACTGTGTAAGTGTTTAAATGCCAATTTAACCCCTTAAGGACCAAACTTCTGGAATAAAAGGGAATCATGACATGTCACACATGCAGACTCAGAGGAGCCCCAGGTACCATTGATATGTATAATTCAGATCAGACAGTCTCCTCGCTGCTATAAGATCATCATACTTAATGATCTTGATCCAATCAAATGTTTCTTACAGAGAAGTGAGGACCTACTGTGCCTTGTTTACCAAAGAACCATGCGAGGTGTGCACACAGCAGCAGTGTTACAACATATTCACCCTAGATCCACCCAGAGCTGGGACTAAACAATATTGGTTAGACCATCCGGAAGAAAGAAGCACCACTTAACACCAAGGTCCAAGTGGCTACTGAAACCTGAAAGCAGATCACTGCATGCTCCCAGAACAGGAAGCAATCACCATCACAGTAGGAGATTTCCAACAACAAATAGACCACATAAAGAGTTGTCAGCACCAGGACCTGACATGATCAATGCCTACTGGATAAAGAAACCAACAACACTGCATGAACACCTAGCAACACAAATGAACCACCTACTAGCAACAGGCTCCCAGCCTAAATAGATAACACAAAGCCATGGAGGATATCTGACAAGGGAACACCACCATTTAAATCACAACCAACCACCTGCCTCTATACAACACGAAAGGTCCTGTCAGGTATCATAGTTTTGAAGGTAATTGAAAATATGAGTCACTAAATGAACAATACTCAGAAGGGGATTAAAAACAACACCAGAGGGGGGGCGGAGCTTGACCACCGAGACGAGCGGTCGCACGGACAGAGAGCTCCGTGAGAAAAACGGAAAATTTGCGGGAAAAACCCAGGCTGAGCACCCCCAAACCACAGCAAAGATACACTACACACCCCTGTGTGACATTGGGCGAAAAACTAAAAAAACACCAAAAGAAAAAAACACCCAGGGACTTACAATTGGCGACATGTGGAGACAGGCCCGCGAAGTTAATGAGACCAACATGGCGGCGCTCCACGGCGGCTGCTCCGACTTTTCCGAAGACTTCTCCGGAGAGGAGTATATGCCAGCCCCCAAGCTGGGAAAGCAGACACAGCCGACCAACACCAACCCAGACACCGCACCAGTGACTATATCGGTCCTCACGCAGCTTCTTGCTGACCATCATAAAGAACTGCATAATGATATTGCGGCACTACGGGGCGACCTGAAGGGGCTAACAACTCGCTTAAACACACTAGAAAGTGCAACAGAAACCAATACCGAGACATTTGGGAACTCAGACAACACGTGCAAGATCTCCAACGGCAACAAAAGCTACATGAACACCGCATGGCGGAGCAAGAAGATGCCGGGAAACAGGATAATCTGAAAGTCAGAGGGACAGAGGGATCCCTGAAACGATCCCGGACACAGAACTACCACAGGTGATCAAGCGCCTCTTTGCAGTTATACTGTCACCCACACAGGCTAACAAGATTGTCCTTGCCAACATATTCAGGATCCCCAAATCGCCAAAAGCGCCAACCGAAGCCACACGAGACACTATACTTACCTTTCAAACCAGACAGGACAAAATAGCAATCCAAGCCGCCCTGAGGGTCAAAACACCGTACCAATTTGATGGGATGGCGGTGAGCTTCTTTGCTGACCTCTCGAGAGACACTCTGGCTTGGCGGCGATCCCTCCAGCCACTTACCACGCTTCTCCGCCAAAGAGACATTAAATACCGATGGCAGAAGACCCACATTCTCACCGTACAGCAGGGGCCGGACTCCTACCAAATCAGGGAACTGACCGATGCAGCTCCGTTCCTACAGGCACTGGGCCTACCGCCGGACTCCCTCATCCAGGCAGGCCAGAAGAGCGCAACCCCCCAACAACAACTTTCGTGGGACCCGGAGAGATCCATCCCGTTCATACCAACAGGTTGTACACCCGACCCGTACATGGCACTCACTACTTGATCGAACACCCGGTCCTACAGGGAAACAAATTGCTGATCAGATAAGCCGCTTGCTAAAGCAAAAATTACCTTCATATGAGGGACACTGAACCAGAGTCTTTGGTATTAACAAGGACTCCCCCATGCTGGACAATTCTATACACCTGGTGGACATACGCTGAAAGAGACGTCCTAAAACGTGAGGGCAGCTGGACAATAAGCCCCCAAAGGGACACTGTCAAAGCGGGTAAAGCCCTGCGGCTCAGGTTATTCACCTTGCAGTAGATACCCTTATGCGGTATCATGGTTGCCACCAGACGGCACCTCTATTGTCTCTCCAACACGAGCGATCGTCTTAGTTAGCTTACATTCCTGTGTTCCACATTTAGTTAATTACCATTGTATTGCAGGACTGAGACACGCGTGATTTAATATGCCTTTGTTCAACCTACATCTAGTAGGGCACATTTAAAACTACACAAACTGCAGAACCATGGGTACCCAAACACTGGGAAGTGTTTATCCCAGCCCCACACAACCTTGTTATAGCCTGATCATTACCCCCACTGTTAACGGAGTTATTTTATGTTATAGATAAATCTTAGCAAGGATAACAAATACTGTTTATTACCTAACTTACTCGGATAGATAGACATATAACCTTACGCAGGATAAATGAATGGCTATTTAGACCAGATGTCACTGTATAGATTGCATGCCCCTCTCTCAAGCTTAGATAAGCGTAGCTGAATATAACTACACCAACATCATAACACTAAAACGATGATACTTGCTGTGAACACCCATCTTAACCCACTGAGTTCATTGTTGTTTTGTCCATCCTGTACCACATATCGCTGAGACATTTATGTGTATCCTAATATTCTAACATAAAAAATGTGCAATGCCTAAAATGCCATATTGTTATCCTTATGTGTGTAAAGTTCGGTTTGCTCATGCTGTTGTGGCAAAGCAAACTCACCTGTTAATCATATGCACAAATAAAATAAAGAATTAAAAAAAAAAACAAAACACAACACCAGAGATTTAAAACACCAGCAGCTGGTAGACCAGACAGACCAATCAATGCACAGGATTGATTGGCTACAGAAAAAGCCTATGACAAAATGCCACACACATGGATACTGGAATACTTGACTCTATACAAGTTCAATAAGACACAAAGAACTCAATGGGCAAGTGCAGAACCACACTAAGAGCCAATTCAGAACAATTACACAAGTAAACATAAAATGTGGAATATACTAAGATGATGCACTATCTCTGATAAGGTTGTGCAAAGACCTTAAGCCACTCAGCCAGCTCAT